TGCAATCAATGACACACTCGTAGAGAGAAACGAGTAGAGCCAACAAACGACACCCCCCTCCCACGTGCCCCACGCCCCACCCACTTGATCTCGTCCCCCATGCCAAGGGCCTCTTTCCTACCTCCCCCGGTTCCTACCTCCCTGGTTCATACCTCCCCTGGTTCCTACCTCCCTTGGTTCATACCTCCCCCAGTTCATACTCCCTCCTTGGTGCATACCTCAATTCCCAGAGCCATTCTCTCTTGGAAAATTCATCACTTGATCCCGCCCCCAAGACCAAGGCCCGCACACATACTTCCCCAACCTATTACTCCAAATCCTACCCCTCCCAACCAACTCATCCCAACCTACCCCTCCCAACCTACTCATCCCAACCTACCCCTCCCAACCTACCCCTCCCAACCTACCCCTCCCAACCTACCCCTCCCAACCTACCCCTCCCAACCTACTCATCCCAACCTACCCCTCCCAACCTACTCATCCCAACCTACCCCTCCCAACCTACTCATCCCAACCTACCCCTCCCAACCTACTCATCCCAACCTACCCCTCCCAACCTACTCATCCCAACCTACCCCTCCCAACCTACTCATCCCAACCTACCCCTCCCAACCTTCCCCTCCCAACCTACTCATCCCATCCTACCCCTCTCAACCTACTCATCCCAACCTACCCCTCCCAACCTACTCATCCCAACCTACCCCTCCCAACCTACTCATCCCAACCTACCCCTCCCAACCTACCTACCCCTCCCAACCTACCCCTCCCAACCTACCCCTCCCAACCTACCCCTCCCAACCTACCCCTCCCAACCTACTCATCCCAACCTACCCCTCCCAACCTACTCATCCCAACCTACCCCTCCCAACCTACTCATCCCAACCTACCCCTCCCAACCTACTCATCCCAACCTACCCCTCCCAACCTACTCATCCCAACCTACCCCTCCCAACCTACTCATCCCAACCTACCCCTCCCAACCTTCCCCTCCCAACCTACTCATCCCATCCTACCCCTCCCAACCTACTCATTCCAACCTACCCCTCCCAACCTACTCATCCCAACCTACCCCTCCCAACCTACTCATCCCAACCTACCCCTCCCAACCTACTCATCCCAACCTACCCCTCCCAACCTACTCATCCCAACCTACCCCTCCCAACCTACTCATCCCAACCTAGCCCTCCCAACCTTCCCCTCCCAACCTACTCATCCCATCCTACCCCTCTCAACCTACTCATCCCAACCTACCCCTCCCAACCTACTCATCCCAACCTACCCCTCCCAACCTACTCATCCCAACCTACCCCTCCCAACCTTCCCCTCCCAACCTACTCATCCCATCCTACCCCTCTCAACCTACTCATCCCAACCTACCCCTCCCAACCTACTCATCCCAACCTACCCCTCCCAACCTACTCATCCCAACCTACCCCTCCCAACCTACTCATCCCAACCTACACCTACCTTTCACTTCCCTCCAGTTCACGCCTGAATTTTTAGAGCCTATTTGCAGGCGCTCACTGACCCTCTCCCCCCCCCCCCCCCCCCCCCTCGTTTGTACCTCTATTCGCAAAGCCATGATCTCTTGGGGTGTTCACCACTCTATCTCATCTCCCATGCCCACGGAACCCGTCTCACATATTCCTCCCAACCTACTCCTCCCAATCCACCCCTGCCCTGCCAGCAATAACTCCCCTAAATAGCACCTCAGCAATAACTCCCCTAAATAGCACCTCCATTCTCAGTGCCACGATCTCTTGCGGCGTCCACCACTCTATCTCATCCCCCATCGCACATACTACTCCCAACCTACACCAATTCCACCCCCTCTCCTCCCACCAGTTCGCACCTCGATGCGTAGAGCCATGATCTCTTGCGGTGTCCACCACTCTATCTCATCGCCCATGCCAGCTGCCCTGCTCATCGCACATACTCCTCCCAAACCAACCTACTCGCACCACCTGAACTGTTCCTACCCTCCCAGGTCATACCCTCCCTGGCGGTGCATACCTCAATTCTCAGAGCCATGATCTCTTGCGGCGTCCACCATTCTATCTCATCCCCCATGCCCGGCGCCCGCCGCACATACTCCTCCCACGGGGGGTCAATCAGAATGACATCAAACTTGGTGCCGAAAATCTCAGGAGTCAACTCGACCTGTGGAAGGGGAGGGGGGGGTGTGGGATGCAAGTACTACAAACGTTGAGACGTCTCCCTCGCACATACTTCTCCCAGGGAGGGTCGATCAAGAAGACGTCAAACTTGGTGCCGAAAATCTCAGGAGTCAACTCGACCTGGGCGGAAAGGAGTGAAGCAGGGGAAGGAGGGGAAGGAGGGGATGGGACACACAGCAATGACTAATCAACTCAGAGATGTCTGACGTCCCCCAAGTGATGCCTGGCACTCGCTGCACATACTCCTCCCAAGGAGGTTCGATCAGAAAAAGGATCAAACTTGGTGCCGAATATTGTCAACTCAGTTCCATTTGAAGCTACACAACAAATGTGGTTACCCGGTTACCACATGCACCACCTTCTCTGGTGGTGGTGCGCATGTAACCACCATCCCACAGTAAAAAAATACCATCACTAACCTGTTTCGAACCCATCTGAAGGTAAACAGGAGAATCTGCCACGATCTATGAAGCGCCTATAGAACCACTTACACAATCCATACACCATGGCTGGTTACCCGGTTACCTGTTTCAAATCCATCTGAAGGTACACAGGAGGAGTAGTCGCATCAGCCACGATCCGATCCTTCCTCGTTATAAGCTCCTTCAGTTTAGGATACTCCTCAAACCTATCAGAGACGTCCATATCGCGTATAAAGTTCTGGGGCCTGTATCCCGTATCCACAAAGTGTTGGGAATAGTCATTCTGCGCCCCCCTTGACTTCCCCCGTGTTGCCACATACCCCATGCGCCCCCCAGGCGTTACCATGCCGCCCCTTCCCCCCATGCCTCCCCCGCCCATCCTTCCGCCGATGCCTCCCCCCATGCCTCCCCCCATGCCTCCGCCCATGCCTCCGCCCATCCCTCCGCCTATGGGCGGGCCTCCAGGCCCTCCCGCGCCCATCTGGCGGCTTTCCCCTCCCCCTGGCCCTCCGCCTCCTCCTCCCCCTCCGCCTCCCCCTCCGCTTCCGCCTCCCCCTCCGCCTCCGCCTCCCCCGCCTCCTGCCCCCGGCCCCGGCCCCGGCCCCCCTCCGCCCATGGGCATTCCCCCAGGCGGCCCCATGCGCATCCCCCGTCCCCCCATTCCGCCCGGACCTCTCCCCATCTGCATTCCTGGCCCTCCACCCATGGGCATTCCCCCTCCGCCCATCCCCCCTCCGCCCATTCCCCCTCCGCCCATTCCGTCTCCGCCCATAGGGGGACGCCCTGCGCCCATAGGCGGACCCCCTCCCCCCATAGGCATTCCTCCACCCATGTTCTCCATCCCTCCCATTCCCCCCATGCCTCCCATTCCACCCGCTCCCCCCATATTCCCCATCCCTATGCCCATATGCCCCATCCCCATCCCCATACCCATCCCCATGCCTCCCCCCATCCCCCCGCCGCCCATCCCCCCGCCGCCCATCCCCCCTCCGCCCATGCCTCCCCCCATGCCCCCCATACCTGGCCCCATCGGTCCCCCCATATGCCCCATACCCATCCCCCCCATTCCCATCGGCCCCATCTCCCCGCCCATTCCCCCGCGCCCCATCCCGCCTCTCCCCCCATGCGCGCCTCCCCCCGCGTCCCCCCCTCCTCTTCCGCCAAAACCCCCGCTGCCGTCAAAACCCCCGTCCCCAAACCCGCCATCCCTCCGCCCTCCGCCCCACCCATATCTCCCAGGTTCCCCCCAGACCCTTCCGAAACCCCTGTCGTCCTCTTCCCCCGCTCCCCCTTTTCTCTTCCGCTCGTCCTCCCCCGCGCCTTCCCCCTGGCCATTCCCCCAAGTCCGATCCTTCCCCTCCTCCCTTTCCGCCGCCCTTCCCGCGCCTTTATCGGAACCCCCCGCTTCCGCTTCCCCTGCCTCTCCATTTCCCCCTCTGGCGGAAAAGCTTCCGCCGTTCCCCATCACGTTAGGGTTAGACCCCCTGACGTCATTTATAGGTCCCTGCTCCGCTCCCCAGCCGCCTTCGCGGAAACCGGTCCTACCTCTGTCCTCCATACAGTCTAAAATGCACAGTGATACAAGCGTCGGTAACTGTAAAAATCACGGGAAGCTAATAACGAACTAAATGAAATCGGTGGCTGTATCGACCCCCATTTTGAAAGATTCTGACACAAAAGAACAGATAGCGACAAGCGAAGGAGCGCTATGGCCGAAACCGATTTCCGTCAGAAGAAGCGACCGTCGTGCGATGACGAACCTTCTAATCTAGAACTTTCAGATGTAACCCGCGGTATGTAACTAGTCCGAATGTAAGAAACAGAAGGGAGATCGAGTAGGATGTTCGAGGCGAAGGTTTTCACAAAAATGATGAGTCGCGAGGTTGCGGAACAGTCATTGTCGTTTTACTGTAGAGAAAAGCTTCTCGAGTATTGATACCGCTCATGGTATGAAAGTTCCAATATTTGCTAACAAAACAAATGTGTGCACTAATTCAGCACATATCCAGACTGTCCATGACGTACCCACCCAGCCCAGTGCATATTTATTTACAGATCAAACAGAAAATGACAAGTGAGACTTTGTATTATAATGCTCTGGGAGTCTGGGCTGGAGGACGAATGGGGCCCATTTGATAAAGAGCACGGGAGACAAAGAGAGTTGATGCTGCGGCATGCAGCACCAAAGCAGAGAAGAGGCATGCTAAAATGGGATGGAGCTCGCCAGGGATACAATAGCGAGCTGATTAGAGTGAGTGTGAACCTGAAAAATTAGAGTGATTCTGTGGGTTACACTACACTGAACCTGTGGGTTAGAGATAGCCTGTAGGTTAGAGCAGGTTCAAGGAAACATGTGGGTTAGAGCGAAGCTGTGGGTTAAAGCGGAGCTGTAATTTAGAAGCTAGAAGGCTCTCGGGAGGCGAATGGAGCCCATTTGATGGAGCGCGAGGGAGACAAAGAGAGTGGATGCCACAGCATGCAGCACCACTGCAGAGAAGAGGCACGCTAGAATGAGCGCTGAGGTGGGCAGGGCCAGGATAAGCAGCACGGCTGATTGAACATCTGTGGAGAGTAGATTTCTATGGGTTGAATGTGAGCCGTTGATCGATGGCAAAAGGTCAGGCGGAAATTGGTGGGGTGCAAGGAATGGGAGGAATGAGAATACGGGCATCGAGGGCATGGGCAATTGAAGATTCGGTGGCGGAAAGGGAGGAACAAGGAATGCGGTGGTATACGGTGAGGATGATGCAGGTGCGGTGATAATGGGTGTAGATGCCGCAAAAACTGTCGTCACCGGTGTAATTGGTATAAATGGTGTAGACGATGGTATACCTGCATGCAGCAGGTTATGAAGCATAACATTTTGGATGATTCCTGTAAGCAGGAAGCATGCTGCAGCGAGGGAGGAGAGCACCCCCAGGAGGCCGAAGTTGAGGGCGAGATAGGCGTGGGAGTAGCGACGTAGGAGTCGGAGCGTCATGGAGAGAGAGGCGAGGAGGGGCGATGGAGTCTGCACTGACACCGATAGGAGCACTCTGCAGGCGAGGAAGGGACGGGGACCCCGGGGGGGAGGGTGGGTAGGTTCGCGGAAGAGAAGGGACAGGAGACAGAGGGAGGTGAGTGAGAAGGGGTGTGAGGAGGCAGGGTGCAGCGAGGGAGGAGAGGACCCCCAGGAGGCCGAAGTTGAGGGCGAGATAGGCGTGGGAGTAGCGGCGGAGCAGACGGAGGTTCATGGAGAGAGATGGGAGGAGGGGCGATGGAGTCTGCACGGACACCGATAGGAGCACTCTGCAGGCGAGGAGGAGAAGGGAAGGCAAAAGGCGGAAGGGTGTGGGAAGTGAAGAGGAAGAAAAAGTTCGTGAGACAGAGAGGGACGCGAGGAGGGAGATTGGCTTCTGCACGGACACCAATAGGAGCACTCTGCAGGTGGGGAGGGGAAATGTGGGTGAATGGGAAGAAAAGAAGGAATGTGAGGTTAAAGGAAAGAAGAAGAGAGAGAGGCGAGGAGGGGCGATGGGGTCTGCACGGACAATGATAGGAGCACCATGTAGGTGAGAAAGATAAGGCAAGGGAGGGTTTGGGGCGGGGAAGACAACGGGGAAATGCGACAGAGTATGGGCGGTGAGAAAAAGGGGCGAGACAGGGAAGAGGATGGGTTTGGGAGTCTGGGGAAGGGTCTCAGATGATGAAGAGGGAGGAGGCTAAAGTCGAGGTGAAAGGGGGAGAGAGTGAAATCAAAGAGAGGCGTCAAGGGGAAGGCAACGGCTCGGAGTGCCAACTTTTGAAGGCAGAACAGGCCAAAGCCTGATGAGGGTCTCACATGGTGATGAGGAGCAGGGCGAAGGTGAGACCCTCATTCACCAGTGGTGCTCAGCAGGGCAGTAGACTGTAGCCATGCCGAGCACCACTGGCATGCTGAAATCGGTGAACTCAAAGAGAGGCGCCACTACGAAGGTCACAGCTATAAACCGATCCCTCCACAGGTGATCAAGACAAAAGTCAGATGAGTGACTCACATGGTGAGGAGGAGCAGGGCGAAGTCGAGGTGGATCGCGGTTACCACCCCGAGCACCACTGGTGTGCTGAAATCGGTGGACTCAAAGAGAGGCGCCACCGCAAAGGCCACACGTATGAGCCAATCACTCCACAGGTGATAATGACAAAGATCAGGTAAGAGCCTCACATGGTGAGGAGGAGCAGGGCGAAGTCGAGGTGAATGGCGGTAACCACCCCGAGCACCACGGGAGTGCTGAAATCGGTGAACTCAAAGAGAGGCGCCACCGCAAAGGCTACGGCGAGGAGAGTTGATGCGATGGCTGAGACGATGAGGAGCGAGGGGAAGAAGGCTGCATCAAAGTTGTGAGAGGCCAACCTGGAAGGGGGAAGTGGGGAAGAGGGGAGAAGAGGGGAGAGGGGAGAGGAAAGAGGGAATATACGTGCTTCGAAACTACAAGGAGCAGTGAGAGTATGAATGCGGAACCCAACTGGCATAAGTTCTAGCAGGTGTTTGTAACAGACTCAACAAATTACCTGAAGGAGCTTTGTAGCAATTGCCACTGTGCATGCCACGTCAGCATCTCGTCCTCCGACCCCAGAATCAGCCGCTGATGTGGACGAGAGCCCGGCACGTACCCCCCAGACAGACCTCTGAATAAGCCTCGCCTCCCCCCTGCTCCTAAAACAGCTTCTGAACCTAGAGTAGCTTCGTTTTCCGAACCTAAGATGGCTTGGTCTCCAGAAACCGCGCTTTCTCCTGAAACGGCTGCCTTTCTCGAAGCAGCTTCTACTCCTGCTGAGGCAACGCCTGCCTCTCCACTCTCTGATGTAACTCCTTCGCAACTCTCTAAGGATTGGTTAGTTCCTGGTGCTGCTGGCACTGCTGCTACAACTGCTATTGAGTCGACTCCAGAGGCAGCGCCTGCCTCTCCACTTCCTGATAGAACCCGGTTGCAACTCTCCAAGGTTTGGTTAGTTCCTAGCGCTGCTGGCACTGCTGCTGCAACTGCCAATGCTGGTGGTGCAGCTGCTGCTTCTGCTGCCAAAACTGCCGCTGCTGCTGCTGCTTCTGCCTGCTGTTCATACTGTGTTATTTCCCCCTGCGGCTGTGGTTCCACCTCTTTTGGTCTCACAACGCCTTGCTCACATTCCTCTCCCTCCTGCTCCGCCTGTCCCTCTTCCTCTCCCTCCCCCTCTTCCGCCACCCCTCTCTCTCCCTCACTCTCCGCCTTGCCTTTTTCTCTTTTCTCTGCTTTCCTCCCTTTCTCTCTCTCCTGTCGCTCCTGCTGCCCTTCCCCATGACGACACCCCCTTTGCACCCGAATCATCGCCCCTTTACCAGCGACAGTAGCTTCGAAGTGACTCTCTCCCCCCTGCTCCCTCTCGCTTCCCCCCACTTCCTTCCCCTTCCCCCCTATGTTCCCGTCGGTTTTCCCTTCCAGCCGCCCCTCTTCGAGTTGCCCCTGTTCAAATCGCCCTTCTTCTCCCCACTCCCTCACAGAGTCACAAACATCTACAATCTCCTCCTCACCACCCTCACTCCCACTACTCTCCTCACTCCCCTCTCTCACCCTCCCTCTCTCCCCCACACCCTCCCCTTCCCCCACTGCTATCGGGAGGTGCATATAGAGAGCGACAAACGCAGAGACCAGCAGCCACAGCAGCAGCAGACCAACGCAGGCAAGCCACAGCACGCCAGACCCCACTATAACCTCCTCGCCTTTAGTCACACCCCAGGGTGCTAGCGCCACCCTCCATTCCGCACAGCACTGTGCTACCGGACCTGACACGGAACCGGCTGCCGTACCTCCGCCTGATTCTGCCGAAGCTGACCTTACTGCACTATGCACCGCCGAACCAGTAGCCTTCACGTCTGGAACCGCCGAGCCTGATGCTTCCAAACCAGGCTGGACCTCCGAGCCTTGCCATGTGGAACTGGAGCCAAAGGCTTGACCAGGCATTCGAAATCCTGCACTCGGGCAGACAACGAATAATCGGATCGCCGCAAGAAACCAGGGCAGGAGGAACAAAAGAGCGGCAACAGACAGCAGGGGGGGCAGCAGCAGCAGAAATCGGACGGCTCTGGATGGGAGTAGCCCAGTTGATCGAAGGGCTGAGGATGCGAGAGAGAAGTGACTAGGATGGTGGGAGCGAGGAGAGGAAAGGAGAGGGGAGGGCGGAGATGAGGGGATGAGGAGCAGGAAGAGGAGAATTAGTCCTATAGAACCAGCTAGGAGGGAGATGAAGAGGGCAAGAAGCCGTTCGTCAGGGGAAATGCCTAATTTGTGAGGAGACTGGGAGTTAAACAGATGTATGTGATGGAAGAGTGGTTTAAAACGGTGCTGAGCGGTAGGACTTGAGATGTTTTGGGGGCTGGAGAGGGTTCGGAGACTGGTAAGGGCCTGGTGGTCCGCCTGGACCTGAATTGGCTGCGGTTGCTGCGCTATAATAGCTTCGATAGTCGCGTATAAGCATAGTAACAAGAGAATCAGCGTTAACGCGCGGAGAGCAGAGGCCGAGAGACGGGAGAGGAGGTATAGGGAGCCTAAGAGGAGAGGTAAGGGGGCGAGTATGGAGAGAAGGAGTGCGAGGAAGGGAGTGAGAGAGAAGAGAGGGGAGATGAGGCGAAGGAAGGAGGAGCAGGACCAAGGCGGGTAGAAGAAGAGGGTTTCGCGGACGGTGAGGTATGCCAGGAGGAGGAAAGTGAGGAGGGAGAGGAGGAAGTTGTGTGTGGGGAGGTGGATGTTGTGAGAATCCGCTTCGTTTAGGAGATTATGCGCGGATAAGTGACGGCGGATGGGGCGTGTTATAACGGGACGTGCTAATAGCGGGGATTGGAGGGATTCTCGCGAGCTGGGGAGTGAGAGGGAAGAGGGGTCATCCGAGGCTGGGTGTGACTGTATCGGATGTGACGGAGGCGAGCGAAGTGGGGTTCCGTTGGGCGATACAAATCTGGGGTGACGAGAAATGGTTATAGCAGACCTTGATTCAGCTGCTGGTGCTGACGTCAGTACTGATGACGGGTACTGCTGACTTGCTGACTCAGATGACATGGCTGCGTCAGGGGGTTGCACTGCCTGGGTTGAATCTGCTTGCTGAATTGAGTTTTTTTCTAGTGAACCTGCTTGAGCTTCTGTCGGATGTGCTTCTAATGAGGGTGTTACGCTCCCAAAACTCCGGTGCGTAAATTTCGGCTGCTGAGAGCTCATTTTGGAATGAGAGGAGAGACGAAGACACCAAAGGCTGCTTGAACGCTTGTATAAGAAACATGGGCGGAGGAGGTGACTGAAACGAGAAAGCGTGCAAATTTTGTCAGAGAAACAATGAAAGAATTCTACGAAACTGGATGGACTGAATGGTGGCGTCGAGCGGTATGACAGAGTCGTGATCGTCACGTACTGGACAGAGCTACGACGTGATATCGATAGGACGGAACTTGACGGCAACGCAAATCAAGCTACTTGCATATCTCTCAGCGAGAACGTCTCGGGGAACGGAGAACCGAAGTGGGAATTATTGATTCCTTATAGAAGATGCCATTCAGCTTTGATTGACGTGACGTGTTTGGCTGACGAACGCCGCGACACCTCCAAGATTCTCGTGACCCAACAGATTCCTCTGATCAGGCAGATTCCCTGACTAGTGACCGTTGCATTCGCTTCGCGATTCACAGACACCCTCGCGAAATTTTTCTTCCCATCGTGAAGGTTACTTCTACGGTGCTGACTGCTAGCACATTTCCTCCAATCGAGTGATGCGAGGCTTTGACGAGGTGTTTTTCAACCAGGGTAACTCTCTCGAAAGAATGGCAGAAATTTCGGCTGAATGGGTTCGGCACCAGGGTGGTTACCACTTTATCGCAGCTCTGTGTATTTGCCATACTTCAAATCTCGTCGAGCGTCGTTATGGTTTCGCCGAGACCCCCCTCTCATCGCCAGTTCCAATCCCATCTCCCATTCCGTTTTGCAAATGGTGGAAGCTGCTAGAAGCATATGCTGGGCCAGCCACTCACTCCCACTTCACACCGCTGCCACCGAGTACCTTTTGAACTAACGATTGCAGCGATAACCGCTGCTGCGGCTTTTGCGGTTGTTGTCTTCTCTTACAGCCAGTCTCGAAAATGGCTTTAACTACTGTCAGTTCCCGACTAAGGTGGTCGCCTTTGCAACTTCCACGGCTTCATGCCTCAAAAGTGAAAAGTTCTGTCAGGGTATTTATCCCCAAACCGGAGACAAGAAGCCATTTTCTAGCAGCAGTCGGCCAAAACGAGAAGATTAAGCAGCGAATAATAGGGGTCCGGCTTGATAGTAGTCACGGCAGTCAGAGGTTTCGCACCAGAATTCTCTCCAAACACAATTCTGAAACGGATAAGCTTGTTTCCAGTGAGTGGCTGTGGGTTTAGGGTTTAGGGTTTAGGGTTTAGGGTTTAGGGTTCTTAGAGTCTTCTAGAAACAGGTCACTGGATAAGCGTATGTTCTTAAGGTGGTGTTCTCACTCCACTGCCTCATTGTCAGCCACCTCTCCCCGTTGATAAAAGTTGCGTTTTGAGACGTCTCAAAACCCAACTTGTATTAGGTCACTGGATAAGCGTCTGCTCTCACTCCACTGCGTCAGTGTCTACCCCCTCTCCCCATTCGCAAACGTCAGCTGTTTCAGAGCAAGCTTTCAACGCGTAACGTCTCAGCGCGTTTGATTCTCTCCAGTTACCGTACCTTGCCACTCTCTGTCGCAGGCGAGACGGATTTTGAGACTGAAAGTGGGGAATCCACTTCAATGAATCACCAACCACCACTGGTGGCACCGTCTCCCCCTTGTATTCCGTCACCACCTCACTTCGCTACTCTCTGTTGCAGGCGAAACCGTTTGAGGCAGGCTTGACTGAAGAGTGACAAATCCATTCCACTGAATCACCAACCACCACCGCCTCCCCCTTGTATTCCGTGACCGCCTCCCCCTTGTACTCCGTCGCAGGCGAGACGCATAGAGGCGAATTTTGAGTCGACTGAAAAGTCGTAAATCCGCTCCAGTGAACCACTATCCACCAACGCCTCCCCCACATATGTTGTCGCTGCCTCACTTCGCCCCATTGTGTGGCAGCCGTTACGGATCAATTCGACCTTTGAGTCCTCTGAAAAGTGGTGAATCCACTCAACTCCACTCCGCTGGATCACTATCCACCAACGCCTCCCCCACATATGTTGTCACTGCCTCACTTCGCCCCATTGTGCGGCAGGCAATACGGATTTGCCGGGCGAAGCTCGCTTTGTGGAGGTCAGTTGAAGCCCCAATTTTTCTTCCCTGCTCTTCTTTTGAACATGTGTGTCGTTAGAATTCAGACACGCTTTGAATAGCGGCTGGCATAGGATGGCATGGGATGGCATCGGCTGACATGGGCTGTGATAATATGGCTGGTATGGGATGGCATGGGGTGGTATGGGCCGACATGTGCTGGCATGGGATGGAGCTGGCGTGGGCTCAGATTAAAGCCTCTGGCAGTCGCTTCACCTCATCCTTCCATTTCCACCCAGCCCACCCTCCTCCCTCTTCTAGCGTATTGAAAAATTAGTTTATTGGGAGTTATTATTCAGAAGGTGAAATGATGAATATCTGAACTTTCTTCCTCCCTACCTCCCTTTCTTTCTATTTTCACCCAGCCCACCTCCTCCGCCCAATCAGAATTGGCCAAGTCGCCCCCTCCCTCTACCTCCAACCTCTCCTCCCCTGAACCATCAACGGATGGCCCGGCTTTATCTCCAGACCCAGCCTCAAAGACAGGCTCGGAACCAGGCACGGTGCTAGGCTCGGTGTTGGACTCGGACCCGAGCCAGCGGCGGAGTGTGCAGGTGACATTTACGTGTGGAGTGTGCGGGGCCCGCACCTCACGGCTGGCGAACCCCCTGGCATTGAAGAAAGGAACAGTCTTTGTGCAGGTGAGGGAGGGGTAGGTAGGAATGAACGGGGAGGTGGGAGGAACGGGGAATGGGAATTGAGGATGGGGAATGCTTGATAGGGGCAGGGCATGAAGGAGTGAAGGGGTGAGAAAGGGCAGAGGTATGGGCAGTGTGCAGGTGACACTCACGTGTGGAGTGTGTGGTGCCCGCACCTCACGGCTGGCCAGCCTTCTTGTTTTGAAGAAGGGCACAGTCTTTGTGCAGGTGAGGAAGAGAGATGGGAGAAAAAGGGGGAACGCGGGATGGGAAATGGGGCGGGAAAAGGGGAAGGGAGGAATCGAGATCCCGAGGGAGGAAGGGCGGAAGGGCGGGAGGAAGGGAGGAGGTAAGGGCAGTGTGGAGGTGACGTTCACTTGTGGAGTGTGTGGTGCCCGGATTTCACGGCTGGTCCGATCCCGTGGCGCTGAAGAAGGGAACAGTCCTTGTGCAGGTCAGAGGGGAGGAAATGGGTGAAGGGTTATGGATGAGGGAGACGTGACCTTTAGTTTGTTTTGCGCCAGTGCCCCTTGCTTCGTTGTACTGTGATCATGTGCTGAATGTTATATGAAAATCCCTTCAAAGTTCTGGTGGTTGTGCTAAGTGCTTCGTCCTCCTGTTTTGGTCATGCCCCATTGCTCCCTTGTTCTCCCCTTGATATGCACTTTAGTGCGGCGGCTGCGAGAAGTTCCATCGATTGGTAGACAACTTGGGTCTTATTGTGGAGTACGATTTCCGAAACGAGAGTGGTAGTGAGAGTGCAAGCGAGAAAAGCTAGCGAACTTGTTGCACAACCGTTCTCTATGGCATTTATTAACTCATTTCTGGCAGGTGGTATAAGTTGAGAATTTGTGCTGGCTATGTTGGAAAGGGGGCTTGGATGCAAGTTATTTTAAATGGTACGGGTTTTTGGCAGTTATGAAGTTACACACTTGTTCAGTATTCGCTTACTTCGGGAAAGCTAGCATCCCGGTTGCATGACGCCACTCACTTCGGGAAAGCTCGAGGCACGTCCAAGAACAGCGAAGCAGCACAGAAGCAACGACGAGCAGACGAACGGTCTCGATTTTTCTAGCAGCATCCAGCGACCCGCATTCTCTCGACTCTTCCTCAAGCCAGCAACACGTGCCACCGAATCGGGCGACACGGCAGGTAACTTCTAGGAGAAGCCAAACTGGGCTTTGCTGTGGAGAGCACACGTAATGTAAGTTCCGTTGCGCACAAATTTTTGATTTCGTAAGCTCTAGCATTTATCAAGGGCGTTGTTGCAGCAGGTTTCACCGGAGCGCTTATAGGAACTTAAAGTCGGATTTGACTTTTCGTTTCTGGTTCAACGAAAATAGCTTTGTCGCGAGCCCTAGATTGAAATAGAACAGCTGTGCTGTTGGAAGCGCATTGATAGCAGACAATTATGGATTTTGAGCTACGGAGGGCGCAGCAGCGATACGAGAAGGAGCAGCGTGAGAAGCGGGAGGCGGCGCGGCTGAAGGCGGAGAGGCAGAGGAAGGCGAAGGAAGAGATCGAGGCGCGTCGGAGGGCTATCGAAGAGGCGCAGAGGCTCAAGCGGTTGGAGGATGCTGCAGCTGCTGAAGCAGTGAGTGATCTGATTTGATTTAATTTGATTCGATTCGATCAGCTGCTTTCGGGGTTTGCGCGTGTAGGAAGGAACAGCCCACAGCTCCCGCATTTCCTGTTTGTTTCGTTTCCCGTTTTCCCTCTCTTCGTCGTTTTCCCGCGACTCTCCGTTCCTCTTGCTATATTGTTATACCCTCGTCCAGTTCGGATCTCGAGAGTTAGTAACCCCCGTTTTTATTTCTGACGTGTTTTCCCCTGTCAGGCTCGTCGTCAAGCGGAGGCGGATCTGCAAGCAGGGGGCGGCATCCGCTTCAATCGCGAGCTGGTCCCCGTCGCTATTGCGGGCGACCGCGATAAGATCACACTCCCGCAGTCGGTGCTGTCCGATCTGCCGCTAGACGAGGCCCTCGATAGAGGACCCATGCTCTTCGAGCTCTCCGTTCCGCGCGCCGCTGGCGGAAGCGCGGCAGGCGGAAGCGCAACCGGCGGAAGCACGGCGGACGGAATGGAGGTTGATGGGGAGGAAGAGGATGACGCCGACGAGGGTGGTTATGCAGTGGATGTTGATCTTAACGGGGGTGATTATAACGGGAGGAGAGTGAAGCGGAGGGTGACGCATGGAGGCGTTTTGGAGTTTACTGCGCCGGAGGGCTGTGTAGGTCTACCCCCTCTTATCCTGCGAAATTTGGGGTTAACGGGGATTATGGACGTCTTTAATCCGTCCGGTACTCCCCCCTCTGTGTGCGTCCGCTTCGTCAAGCTCCCTAAAGCCACGTTCGCGCGGCTCCAGCCGCTGCGCCACGGGTTTCTTGCTGACGTGGCGAATCACCGCGCTGTTCTGGAGGCGGCGCTGCGGGGCCAGGCGGCGCTGACACGTGGCGACGTGCTATTGGTCGGGTCGGAGGTGGGGGAGGTGGCGGTGCGCGTGTGTGAGGTGAAAGGGGTGGGCGGCGCGAGAGGCGCTGCTACAGTGATTGATGCTGACGTGGAAATTGAGCTGTCGCCATGGGAGGCGGAGGGGGGAGCGGAAGGCAAGGGAGGATTGGGGAACAGGCAGGGGGAAGGCAAGGGGGAGGGAAAGGGAAAGGGGAAGGAAGGAGAAATGCGGGATGCAGGGAGGGATGGGAAGAATGTGGGAAGAATGGCTGGTATCGTGAGAAAGCTGAGGGAAACAGATGAGCAACAAGGAGAGACAAGAGAGAAAGGAGAGGAAACAGAGGGAGGAGGGGGAGGAGTTGGCGCTGGAGTTGTAAAGAGGGAGGTGATCCACGTGGGGAGTGCTGATAGGCGCTTACTGGTGCTGCCTATAGGGGGGAAAGGGCTAGCAGGGGAGATTCAGGAGGGCGAATGGAGGTATTTCAAGGTTTATGCTGATGGGAGGTTAGGCAGGAGGTTGTATCAGGGGGAGGTAGAACTGGAGTTCCGGTTGCAGCTTGAAGGGGGGTCGGCTGATGTGGCTCGAGGAGGTGGTGACGTGGCGGAGGGTGATGCCGACCTGTACCTGACCAGGCACCCTATTGTGTACCCCTCGTTTCTGGACCATGACATGTCGTCCATTCTCCCTATTGGCTCCAAGACGCTCGTTCTCTCCGCATCAGCACTGGCGAAAGCAGCAGTACCAGCAGCACCAGCATCAGCAGCAGCAGCAGAAGCAGCACGAGTGGAAGTATCAGGAACAGTAGTACCAGAAGGAGCAGCAGCAGCAGCAGCAGCAGCAGCAGCAGCAGCAGCAGCAGCAGCAGCAGAAGCGCTGAAGGAGCCTGCAACGTACACTATAGCAGTGCACGGTGCAGCAGGCACTTGCAGGTTCAATATATCTGCACATTCCAAAGAGTTGATCTCCTCTGATATAGACCCATCTGCGTCTGCTGCTGCTGCTGATGCTGCTGGTGTTGGTGTTGGTGGTGGTAGTAGTGGTGGTGATGCTGCTGCTGCTATTACTCCACCTGCCGACCAATCCCGTTGTGCCAACTGTCGCCAGCTCATCGCCACCCGCACACTGCCCCTGCACGAGGCCTACTGTTCCCGGCATAATGTTGTTTGTCCGCATCCCGGGTGCTCCGTGGTATTGAGGCGGGCGGATTTGGAATCGGGCGGCGAGCACCACCAGCACTGCGGGGAGTGTGGGGAGGTGTTTGGTGGGAGAAAAGAGAGGGAGAAGCACGAGCAGGTTCGGCATGGGGAGTTGGTGTGCGAGTGTGGACTCACTGGGAAGGCTGCCGAAGTGGTAAGTGCATGGATGATCCTTCCCACCCCAATTAGGCAGTCTTCCTACCCCAATATCCTTTCCCTTCCCCTGAGACCGCCGTCGCACCACCTGTCCCCGTCGCCCCATCCTCTATCGCTTCTGTGCTGCCCTCGTGCCGGCCCTCATGTCTTTCCTCTCTTCCCCCCTCTCGCCTCAACCCACCCCCACCAGCACCACCACCGGCGCACCACCTGTCCCCATCGCCCCATCCTCTGTCGCTTCTGTGCTGCCCTCGGGCCGGCCCTCGGCCCGCCCCTCTCCGCTATAGACCGTCTCAACGGCCTCTCCCCCCACGAGGCACTCTGTGGGGTGCTTTCACACACGGCCCTTTCCCCCTCTTCCTCTCTGCCCTCCCGTTTCTTCCGGCTTAAGTTCTGTCTGTGCCTTCCTCCCATTTCCCCCCGGCCCCCCTTCTCCCCAGCACCACCACTGGTCCCCATCACCCCATCCTCTGCCGCTTTTGTGCTGCCCTCGTGCCTGCCCATACAACCCTCATGCCTTTCCTCCCTTCCCCCCTTCCCCCCTTTACCCCCCCCAGCACCACCACCAGCGCACCGCCTGTCCCCATCGCCCCATCCTCTGCCGCTTCTGTGCTGCCCTCGTGCCCGCCCTCGGCCAGCCCCTTTCCGCTAGAGACCGACTCAAATGCCTCTCGCCCCACAAGGCACTCTGGGGTGCTTTCACACAGGGCCCTTTCCCCCTCTTCCTCTCTGCCCACCCGTTTATTCCGGCTTAAGTTCTGTCTGTGCTTTCTCCCATTTCCCCCCTGCCTCCCCCCTCCACCAGCACCACCACCGGCGCACCACCTGTCCCCATCGCCCCATCCTCTGTCGCTTCTGTGCTGCCCTCGTGCCGGCCCTCGGCCCGCCCCTCTCCGCTAGAGACCGTCTCAATGGCCTCTCACCCCACGAGGCTCAGTGTGGGGCCCGCACGGCCCCTTGTGACACGTGTAGACGGCCGGTTATGTTGAAGGAGATGGATGTCCACGTGGCGGCTTTCCATTTGCTGCCTGCCACGTCAGCAGCATCGCCAGCTGCTGCCACTGCTAATACCACCACCGCTGCTGCTGCTGCTGCCTTTCCTAGGAACGCTCTTGCTTTTGTGGCTGGTGGGAGGAGCACACACACGCACACAGATATTGATGACGAGCACTGGGCAAGAGCCTATGCCGGCGATTTTGAGGAGGACCAGGGGTTGCAAGGAAGAGTCGGAGATGGGATGGTGGGGGATGTAGGGAATGTTGGGGCGAGGGGTGGGAATTTGGATGGGGGTTTGGAGAGAAGGGATGGGCCGGGTGGGGCGAGTGGGGTAAGTGGGCCGGCTTCTGGGAGGTCGTTGAATGTGGGGTGTCCGATTTGTGGTGTGATGGTGCACAGTGAGCGAGACCTCAATGTGCATCTGGATATTGCACATTGATAATTCTCAATTGATGTGTTGATGTGATGTGATGTAATTGTTAGTGGTGGATTTAGAGCACCATGTTTGAAATTTTTTGTATATGCTGGAACTTATTGCAAATATTGAAAACACTTTACCTCAAAATGATGGTTCTTGTGCTGGACAATACTCGATTACCGGTAAGTCATTCCTTACTGTCATTGAATTCCGGACCGTATAAAACCGTTTCCAAATTCATCGTATCGAACCGCGCCACGCATCTACATTTTTTAATCTCAGCATTCTATCCTTCACACTCAGATTATGGCAATCGTCGTCACTGCGCCCCTACCCTAGCGCTGTTCGCGCTCCACCATTCATCCCCCATAAGCCGCAGTCAGCGTTCGCCCCCGTCCAGACAGACGTTTTGACCGTCTTCTTTTACTCATGCGCTAGGATTGGAACAACGAAAATAAAAGGAACATATTAACCTCGCGTTGTTTCAAACTTACCATGTCTTTCGGGTTCAACTATTTTCCCGATCTCCGCCCTCCTGCGGTCGAGGAACTTCCCGCGTCGCTCGCGGCGCTGAGCGAAGAAGCCCTATTGGCTGCGCGCGAGGCTGCGTACGAGCAGCAGCTATTAGCTGTTCGTGCTTCTAACGAGGGGACCGCGCCGATTGGTCAGGCGGGGGGGAGGGACGGGGAGGGGGAGGGGGAGGAGGTCGAAGGGGAGGCGGAGGAGGAGGAAGAGGAGGAAGATGAGGAGGAGGGGGATAGGGATGAGATGGACGGTGGGGATGATGCGATGAGTGACGAATTCGGGCAGGAAGGGGGCGGGGGGTTGTAGTGTGACTTGTTACGATGCGATTATAAAAGGCTTCTGATAACGGGTAGGAAGAGTAGGGGAGGGATGTGATGGAGGGGCAGGGGGCAAGAGGGTAAAGGTGGAAGGAGGGGGGAAGAGAAGGGAGTGGGTGGGGTGGGGTGGAAACGAATGGATGAGTGTCTAATCTAGACAGGAGACAGGGTTGTAAGAGTTTTGAGACGTCTCAAAACCCTTCTTCAATCACGTGGGGTGGGGTGGAAACGAATGGATGAGTGTCTAATCTGGACAGGAGACAGGGTTGTAAGAGGACTTTGCAAGGATTTGATGATAAGCGTAGTTTAAATCAAGGTGGTGCACATGCCATGTGTGAAAAGAGGCTGGCGTAGTGTGGGGTGTGGTTTTGGGGGGATGGGGAGGAGGAGAGGGGGAAAAGAGGGAGGGAGAGGGTGAAGAAGGGGTGAGTGGGGGGGCAATTAGGGAGAGGGTGGGAGAGGGGATTGAGCCCTGGGTTGAGGGAGACTCTCCCTGGGAGAGGCTACGTTGATTGTTTGTACCAGTCTTACGAAGTAATCACCATTGAGAACAGTTTTTTACCGTCAGTTCAATAATCTCATGTACAGTATCAGTTCGTGAACATCAATGCCTTGTTTTTGCATCAGTCTCTGAAAAGCCAGTGCTTCTTGACCAGATAGATTCTGCACCAGTGATTACCTCCCCCAGAAGCTCTTGTTTGTCTTGTCATAGTTTGTCACACATTACTAATCACCTTCTGCAGGACCTACAGCAGAAGGATATGGTTGGTACCGGGTACTCAGTAAACAGTCAATCAAAGCCACAGTCCATTATACAGCCTTCCTTGTCATGTCCTCTTTTCCTCTCCCACATCCCCCCTCATCTCCCCCTCCCCTTCTCCCCTTCCCTTTCACACTACGCTTCTTATCCAGACTCCCACCTTTCCACATGCAACGATCCTGCATGGTATGACATCTGAGGTTACCATGTAACACCAGTCCACATTCACACCGCCCCTACTTTGTCATCTCCTCTTCTTCCCTCCCTTCCCTTCTCAGAACCGCCTCCTGCCCCATGCAACCCCTCTGCACCCCCACCCCCAACTGACTTGTCTCTATGATGCTGAATTTCACAGTTACTGTGTTACATGAACTCACATACAAATCCCCAACTGTTATCTCCTCTTCTTCCCTCCCTTTCCCTTCTTCTCAGAACCCCCTGCTCCATGTGACCCGCCTGCTCCCCCACCCCCTCCGCCACCTCCTTCCTTGTCCTTCTCCTTGTCTTTCTTGCTCCGCCCAACATGCTTCGGTATAAGCTCTCCCAGTTTCAGCATAAGCGCCATTTCTGTACAGCAGGAGAGGGGTTAACAGCAGTACAAAACAATGAGTGACTTTTGTGATGTTCCAGAAAACGGGAGTTGAGAGAGACGTGATGGGGAAAGTATGAAGAGGAGAGTATGACGTCAGATGTTCCCTCATTGACTAACACAATGATTTAGAGCAAAAACAGCTGCAATCTGTTCCCATCCCATGTGTTACCAGGTAGACACAACTTTCTCTTTTTCATAAATGGTCGCTTGGGAGTTAGGACAATCCCTCGAGTGTGACTTAGTGTTTGATGTACTCACTGTAGCAGTTACTGTAGCACATGATATAGAGGTTGTCGTGCTGTCGGGTTTCTGTTTGTAATGATACTTTGAGAATCCAAAAAAGGAAACACAAATATGCACAAGTTTGAATATGCACGTACCGTTTGGGATGTCGGGGTTGTGTGGTGTGTTATCACGTTTCTTTATCTGCACCCTAATGCGACCTACAATTGTTTCCCAAATGCGACCTACAATTGTTAGCTTGCAGTTACTGTTGCCGTTACTGTTGCATTGCACTTACTGTTGGGGATGTCGGGGTTGTGTGGCGTGTTGTCGGGCTTCTTTATCTGCACTCGGATGCGGCCTCGTTGAAAGAAGTCCCGCGAGTAGGCCTTGTCTAGCTGCAATGTACGTGAGTGAGGAGTGAAGGAAGGAACAGATTGAAATTCCCACAGGTGCGCATAGACAGACGGACGCACATACACACGCACACACAAACCCTAGACTTTTGAAAGGGGTCCTGCGAATAGACCTTGCCTTTCTGCCATAGGAGTGAACGGACGGGCGAATTGTCACTTTCACACAGATGCACAGAAAAACAGAGTCAGAGACACAGAGCCACACCACACCACACTCACCTCTACGGCACGAGGGTTTTCAAGTCAAATCGAAAGACCATTAAACAACTTTCAAGTCGACTCAAAGGTGAGAATCACAGACCAAAAAGCGAACGCAAGAACAGGCGCCAGGTCAGAGAAAGCGGCAAATCAAGAATCAGGGCATGCGCCAGGTCAGAGAAAGCGGCAAATCAAGAATCAGGGCATGCGCCAGGTTAGGCCTCTGCTCAATCTGAAACCCCGGCATGACTACCCCCAAATCCACCTCCGCATGCAAGGGAACTTTTCAATACGTGCAAGAGTCGACCATTTCATAAACTTTGGTGTCCCACGCTGCATTGCCACCAGGGACTCACTCCCACATAACTCCCTAAAATGCCACACACATACCATGATCCCTCCCAAACCGCATCGGCGTGCGCGGGGACTTTAAGGCACGTGCACGAGTCGACCATCTCTTGAATCTTGGGGTAACTTGGTTCCCTCCTGAGGTGACTTTTGAGTCGACTCAAAAGTCACCTCAAACCACATCGGCATGCGCGGGGAATTGAAGGCACGTGCACGAGTCGACCATCTCTTGAATCTTGGGGTAACATGGTTCCCTCCCAACCCACATCCGCGTGCACGGGACCTCCGCGGCCTTACCAGAGACTCAAATCCCGAAATCTCCCTACAATGCGACACGCACCGTGACACTGATTATAACGAGCTCACCTCCGCGTGCACGGGAATTTTGAGATGCGTGCACGAGCCGACCATCTTCGGACCTTCCGCGGCTTTACCCTGGACCCAACCGCCCAATGCCACACCCGAAGCCATGATCAAGCCGAGCTCACCTCTGCATGCACGGGGATTTTAAGGTGCGTGCACGAGTCGACCATTTCTTGGATGTTCGGGTTCTCCGCGGCCTTGCTCGCCGCGATGCGACGACCCTGCGCTATAGTCATCTTCGAGTTTATGTAAACGGGGTAGATGATTTGCCACCGCGAGCGATCCGTGCTATCCTCTCCCGCGCTACGAATCTCTACCATTGTGGAAATTCGGTAGAGACCGGTGGAATTCGGTAAAGCGCGGTGTGAGATTGGTTCGGGTTCGGCACTACGCGCTACGAGATTAGGGTTGACTTGGGTCGACTCAAAACACTTCGAAGTACGAAACAAGTTTGAAATAAAATGTTGCGGAGATTGGCGACCCGCCAGAGATCAGGCTTCGACGGGATTTGATGCGAGAGGCGAGAACGAAGAAACTGAAGCTGAGAGAGTTTAGTGACGTCCTGAACTCAGTTGCCACGGTCAATAGTAAGAGTAAGAAACCAGAAGAGCAGGTCCCCTCGAGGGCCTTAGCATCTGTAACTTATTACAACTATCTGATTCTCTAGGGCAAGAAACCTTCTAGAGACGTCACTAACTTCCTACAACTAGCACCATGGATGCCATTGTCAGGATGGGATAGGAATAAGGGCGCTTCACCTGTCGGTTCGAACAACACACTCGTTCGAACAGGCGAAACGTTACTCGTTTCGCCTATGTTCGTAGTGGTGATCGTGACGTCGCGAAGCACAATTTCGCCAATTTGAACAGAGCTGTCACCTCAAGCACGATTTTCATCATCCCGCACGTTCGAACACGTTTGTTCGAACAGGTTGGGATAGGTGACACACAATTCCGCACAAACGACTGATATGATTGGTCCACAGTCTTCCGGGTCGCCCATGAACGTTTGCGACCCGGCCAGACGTTGGCTGTATTTCTAGCAATCCAGTTGGCTCCGCATTTGGTGGTCGCAGCGCTCGAGAAAACACACAAGCGAGGGACCCAATGTTTGGCGACGTCGCTCTTTTGTGGGCGACGTCGCTGTGTTCGAACAGACCGCGTGTGCGAATAGCGATGGCGTCACCTGTGATGGCCTGTGTCACATTCGCTCATTGTACGTATTTGTGTTCGAACTCATTTGGGATACTGTTCGTACAGTCAAACTGATACGTCGGTTCG